TTAGACACCACTGTTGTGAAATTTGCTCCAGATGCCTTCGAAGACCCCTACACTTATGTAGGATCACACGAGACCAATGTCACTGTTCTGTCACTTAGCAACTATATAATGAATCGCCCTGGTAGTGAGTCAAATTTCAAACTGAGAACCGGTATACGTGACTATGTAACCGCTACTTGGAAACTGGATGATATTTGGTTGCGCGGTAAAACAAACCTCACACAGTACGTGATCTGGAGATACATAGGTACAGCTAATGGTGTGTTCAGACAAACTCCAGGTAGAGCCCTGCCAAAAAGTTACGATCCCAGAAAAAGACCATGGTATGTGGTATTGTTTTTGCAATTTTCGCTTATTGATTTATCGCTCTATAAATGAAAGTTGACTATGCTTACCAGATGGAGGGAGAGGATTTCCTCAAAGTATGTCAAAACAAAGTATAATTGTCAACATGGGTTTCGCAATCTCGAATCCATATGCTTGTTTCGGGTAAAATAAGACCGTGCTTTTAACAACAACATGTCTGCTGAAGGTTGTGTTCCAACAAAAGAGCTTTTTGTTTCTCTAACAGGTATAACGCAGCCTTACTTCATAACGGATTACTCACTTTTACAACACCATATTTGGATGTGGGAGGTGCTGGAGAGATAATAACTGCGGCCCGCGCGTTGTTTCACGGTGAATCAAATCACGTGTATCGAGCTTATGATGAAGCCCTTGGTGTACTGGGGACGGATTTTCCCNTTATTTTGTTTCAGTATTACCATTTTAATGTAAATTCCTGATTATTACTTAAGTCACATGTATCCGTTTCACTGACACGTAAAGAGTGACCTAACGTGTCTGATTACTCTCGCTGCCAATGATAATGGTTAATATAACCAGAAACGGTAATTTTATGTTTATGGTTTTCACAGGAATTTCTTTCAGAGCCTCGGTTTGTGCTTCACAAGCTGAATGCACCTGTACCTCGGACAAACAATGTCTAAACACATTTCTCTGTGAATGCCCTTGTCACTCCAAGCTCGCTTTTCGGTATTGCCTCGGAGAGTTTCCCAATAGCAGGTTGGATATCCTGGAATAATTTTTGTTAGTTCTACTATCTATCTGAATCGAGCATTATTATTCATTTGATTATGATGTTGATTATTTTCCTACGTACGTACTTTCAGTCTTCCCATTTGCCCAGCACTAGGACCAAAACGATTGCAATCTGAACCTGTTCCTGATAGTAAGAAATGTCTTGAAGAATGCTTTGATCCTCACTGCGGAGAGAAAGATGAGCAGAGGACATGTGATGGACTAGTGAGCTGTTATTGGTGCAAAAAAGACAAACACGGTCTATTGTTGACAAATCCTTACTGTGGCACCTCAGAAAAATGTTTCAGAGGAGCAGAAGCTCCGAATAATAAAGGTAAAAACCTCTCAAAGTTATCCATTTTCGGTAGTCCGTATGATTCGATTGCACATTTGAGGACAAAACAGGTTAGCCACCTGCTGGCTTTTCCCTATTTCCCGTTATGGCCAGGTAACATTTTTCTCTGACAATCGCTGAATTACCAAACAGTTTGTCTCTTTCATTTAAGTAAAATTACAAATGAGACTCACTCGTCGTGTTCGCTTAGAACACCTTTGAATAAAGAGAGAGAAAGAGAGTAGTGGAAACGTATACCCTGCAAGTCGACACGCTCATGGCAGGTAAACCTCTCACCTGTTAGAAATGATTTGAATGGCAAAGATATTTAATTACTATTATTTCTCGATCTCTGGTATGATATAATTACTCGAGTGTGGATGAATATCGAGTCAACCGATGCAGTTGTTAAGCTGCTACATATATAACGATATATAAATATCAGGGTAATATATTTGGATAGCAGTGACCGGCCTGAAGCATATTTAAAGCTTCAATGAGGCAACAGGTGATAGCTCCGATTATTCTCCATGGACCTTTCTATACAACCTTGCGTTAAAGATATGATTGTTTCCTCGATAGATTATAAACTTGGTTCCCTATTTCTTTGACAGATCATGAGCAAAAAGACAAAGGTTGTAATCCCTCAAAAAATGGATCTAATACTTTGTCGATGGCTGCCATTGTAGGAATTTCCATAGGATGTGTAGTATTTGCACTTTTGATTCTGATCGGCATTTGGAAGGTGAGATGTCGTTCTCATGATCACAAATGATATTCATGTGCTTTAGGCAACCTTCTAAGAAACGCAAGCGCCAGACAAAGAAGTAATTTCCAATTTCCCAGGAATCGAGTTTCAGATGTTTCGGTTGTAGTTGAGATGACTTATGTCACTCTACAGAACACAGTATGGGCGTCTATTTCTAATTTGATAGCCTGTAAGATTTGAAAGGGTTTCAATCAGGAGACTAAAGGGAGCATCTTTATTAAATATATAAAAGAATTGTTCCCAAAGGTCTTCAAAGAATACATTATTGCCTTGCAGGCAAAAATTTTCAATGATGATTTCAGTGCTGGCTTGTAATTATCTTGATGGTTTCTCTATCCCAGGGTATAAAACATTGTCGAAATACAGGACCACGTCCTTTCCCTGTGAGAACGTTTTTCACACAAAAGAACACTGCAACTGAATCAACCGACCATGAAATGTCTCATGGAAACCAAGGACATGATTACGAGGACCCCAGGGACCTTGTGATACTTTCTGGGCCACCCTCGTACAATGAAGTACTACAACAACAAAACTCTAGTTACACCNAATTCGTGAAGAAGAAAGTGAATTTGAAGATACCAACGCCGATCTTGGCTATGTGGAATGCATTCATGTTCAGAATACTGCCGAGGGGTCAGAAGCAATTTACGTTAAGAACTCAAAATTATAAACTTCACTGCAGGATATTGTAATATAAATGGCCTTTGATGGGCAGTTTTTCCCAGCTTCCATGGAAGATTCTGATTCAAACTATGCTTACGTTAATACGTACCAAGACCATCACGTATCTACGAAGGTCAAATGAATAAACAGTGGTAACAAGCATTTGTTTCAGTACAACTTAAGAGAGGTAGTCACGAACAACATTCACTGGCAACTGTCGAAAAATCTAATTGGCTCGTATACTAGTATTAGATAGGGCTATAGGTAAAACAAACCAAGACTGACATATGTAGTTTTTTGAAAACTCTATTGTTTTTGAGAAAATCGATCAAATTCAATTCACGCATAATTCCTCCAAAAATGTGCTAAATTCGACCTTCGAATGACGCTGATTATAATCAGCACCAATCGAAGGTCGAATTTAGCCCATTTTTGGAGGCTTTATTTGTACTTGTAAATTGAAAAGCAGTGAAAAACTTATTTATACCATAAACCTTCGTGCTAAGTGAAATAAACTTTTAATACTTGAAATATGAGAAGTAGACATGATAAACTCTCCGTCTGCAGGGTTGTTTTTCTGGGGTTATTATGCTGCTATGCATACGAGGGAATAGAAATTGCGCTTTTCGGCGAAGTCGGCGACATAATAGAAAAGACCGACTTTGTTTAACATTTACAGTTTGTGAGCCTTAGTGGTAATAGTAAATGCTACAAATATCGTCTTGAGAGTCCTTGCAATGCGATAGAAGTTGTTTTTGTTTTCTCCGAAAGCATTCCTTTTGTAGACATGAATAGACATGAATGCCACTGCGTGACTTATGTGTCACGCAATTGTTAGATCTATCTTCTTGTTTTGCAAGTGGTTTAAAATTTTTATACATCGAAAAGTTGCAGGGAATTTTTTATATGAAATCCAAAAAGTACGGATGAAAGGTTCTGTGTTCAGATAAAAATTTATAATTCTTTTGGACTTCGTACTACTTAGAGGCAATTAGCAATAAAACGTCACTGTTAATTGATCAATTTCATCTGACAAAACTTAGTGTGCAATAAGTAAACAAGTTAGTTAAAATATTTTCAAGAATGGAAATTTGTTGTTCATTTGAGTCTCTTGTTGTGGATGATTGTGGCTACAATCCAAATGACAGAAAAGGGTATAGGCGAATGGTACCTTTGCTGTCGTGTGACAAGGAAATAGCAGTGCATTTGGCTCTTTTTTCGTTCTCTGGTGTGTTCACCGGTGTGTTTACCGTGTATGACTTCGTATTGAGTAGAGCAGCTGTTTTCCAACACCCCAAAGAGGTTGATACATGCAAAATATGCCCACTTCATCGCTAAAGACTTGGTCTCCGGTGGACTCGAGGGGGAAATACTAAATTTAGAGTGCCAGCAAATATTTCAAGGCATATCGTGGAGTACTCAATGATGTCGAGCAATGTTAAATCTGTACCGCGTCAGGTTTGGTATCCATTTTTTCAGATCATTGAATCCTATTTTATCTGCTATAATGGACAGCAATTGTCGCCTTGTGGACCAGTGATTTGTATTTTCATAACACTCACAAAGAGCTTCAAGCAAATTGTAGTAAAGACTGTCACCCACGCCTTTAAATTTCAGTATAGTTAAACAATCATCAGATTGTCCGGGGGCCGGTTAGTTCCTCGAGGCAAGTGGTGATCATACGCCAACCTTTACTGGTACAGTAACGCTTAGAGCGCTCTGAGGCTTCACTCCACGGAATAGAAAGTACAGCTCGAATGGGACTGAAATCTTTTGATTCTAAATACATATAGAGTTTGTCTCTTGGTGACGACAAACTAACAACCAGAGACTCGTCTACATGATGCATAATCTGTAATGTTTTCAAAGCAAAACTATTAAAATATGAAAAATAGAACTGAAATACACCCGAAATAGAACATAACTAAATAAAAAACGACTAGTTTAATTATTTTTATTTGAATTTGTACAACTCTCCTCACCTGGCTGATACTGACTGCAGGGCGTGTCTATAAGGGTGGAGTCTACAGAATGAATATAACCCGATGACGCAGTTGTTAACTGTTGGCTCAGAATTATTTCTTGTTCATCAATGGCTTCTAGAGGTGTAAGGCCATTACCTCCGTCTTCTGTGTTCTCCTAGAGTGAAACATGCAGTGCAAAAATTTGTCATCAAGCCAATTAGATTGCGCATTATTTATGGATCGCAAGATAAAATTTTTACCTGCAAGTTAGACTGCACATTTTTTATGATCATTTCTTGATTTTGCGCGTCTAATTCCTGTGTAGTGCACATTTCTCTAATTTCCTTGTTAGAGTTTGTACAGACGCCTGTCGAATCAAACTGACTGCAATCAGATCTTTTCGAAANTACTAACCCAAAGTGTGAACCGATTTGAAGCCTTATTGAATAATAACATAGAATGATGTCAAAGTTATCGACCGTTTATTCAAATTTTATATGATCTTTTTATTTCATAGCTATAACATCCTTGATTACTGAAGGATCCGTTTAGATTTCAAAAATGAGATTCTCTCGCAATATACCGTTCAACATCTACTGTTATAAGTTACAATGATAATGACCGTGTAAATAAACGTATCAGTCTTTAAAAGCTGTTATCACCGTGAACCCTGCTAATTATTTATCTCTTCCCCTTGTTCCACGTGTTCTACTACAAAAGCTTATGAAGATATACCAATCTTATTGCGCTTGGCACAATTAAAAAGATGATCATCTTATAAATGTAATTCGCCTATACCTGTATACTTCTACTTCGTCATGTTTTATCGTCCGATGGACAACGTAACAAATCTAAAAATGCAATTACAAGTACTCTTCTATCACGCATTCTAGTTCTCTATTTTCTCAGTGCAATGAGCTGCAAGTACAAAGAGTTTCTTCACCTCTGATACGTCTTCAAATGTCCTATACGGCCGCGTTCTCGCTAATAAGTTCTATGTAACCATGAGGATCAAGGGAAATAGAATCGCCACTGTCACGATGTAAAGGAGTTGGCCTACCCAACACATCTTGCTTTGCTGATTCATCAGTAGACAACGACGCGCTGGTTGCCAATGAGTCATTTTCTTCAGGCAAGGTTTGAGATATGGTTCCATAGTGACGCTCTTGATTGTCGTTAACAAAAGGAGAAACAGTCTGTGATTTATCATCCGTTGACAGAATTTTCCCGGAGATGGACAGTGGTGAGGGCACAACAGATGGACGCCTCTTTTTCGGAAGTTCAGGAGGTTCGCTCTCAATGGAATTCATTCGTATTGGTCCCATGGACCTTGGCCCAGATGTGTTCCTAATCAGGTCCACAGAGGGCTCGGTGATACCGACCAGCGTTCGTCGTCCATCATCGACTTCTGGCAGACGACTTTCGATAGAATACATTTTTATTGGTCCAGTGCGGCGGGTCGCAGAATGGTGCTTCGTTGGGGATATGGAATGATCTCCACCAGACTTCCCTCTTCCGTCATTAGTAGAAGGAGGGAGGCTTGTAGTTCGAGAAAGACCTGAAGCTTTGATAGTGCTTAATTTCCTTTCTACTGTAGGAGGTTTATCACTTCCCCAGATCCGTATTTCTTCATAAGGTGCTGGCCACGGAGTGGAACTAACTGAAGCTTCACGGGATCGCCTTAATTCGTCAGGGTCTTCGTAATATGCTTCGGGGTCGGAAAGTTGCAGCTCGGGTTCCGGAGGAATAGGTGCTGGCGGACGATTATTATCGAAATAGGTACCCTCAGGGTTTTCAGGAACCATGATTTGTTGCGTGGATGCACTGGTGTCCTTTCTGATGGGAGGTTGACTACGGTTACGAAAATGTCTTATCAACTGGAAAAACAAAGGTAAGGGAGAAAGAAGCTAAGTTGCGAAATTGGTATCAATAGAAAAGTAGAAATAAATTTCACAGCAGCCATCCATCAATAACGTGAGTTCTATTTTCGGGGAGAGGCTAATAATTGAGCTAACTGTTTTGATAAAAGAATAGTAGACCCTCCTGGAAATTTCGACCTACGTTCCGACAACGAAG